CTGACCAATTCGTTCTCAGTTCATTGACTTCCAGCCCCGACAGTCAATGAATATAGAATTCTTTCCTTCGGGAATGCACCTGCCAAGTTCCGGGGGGATGGATGTGGAAATAAACCTCAACTTATATACACTTGCTTTCTTCATGTGGGGGCTTTTCCAGACAAAGTGAAATTGGCCAGGCTGAGACCCTCCCTCTGGTGTCCCCCAGCCCAGAGCAGCAGTTCAGCTTGAGTGTGTACAGCGAGGTGTGGGGGCCCCGGAGTCAGCAGCCTCACCTGGAAGAAGGGGTGGTTCTTGACTTCTTGTGCCCCCTGGGGCCCCGCACCCAGTCGCTTCTTGGGATCCTTGCAAAGCAGCCGCTGCAGCAGGTCCTGCGCCACAGGCCCGATCCGGGGGGGGAAGGGAGGGGAGCACTTCAGGATCCGTCTGGGAGGATTGGGGGGGGCGTCAGGGGCAGCGAGCCCTCCCCACGGCCCTGCCCAGGCAGGCCCTGCAGCCCCTTGGCCACCCTCCACCTCCAGCCCTACTCACCGGGACACCTCGGCCTGTGTGTTTCTCTCGCCCTCCAGCGTGAAAGGTGAGGCCCCCGTCAGCAGCTCAAAGAGCAGGATGCCCAGGCTCCACCAGTCCACAGCCTGCGGAGGGAGGTGGGGGTGAGGGTGTGGACTGACCCACCTCCCCACCTCTACCGCCACCCCCACTTCCCCACAAACCCACCTTGCCATGCCCTGCCTTGCTGCGGATAATTTCGGGGGCCATGTACTCGATGGTGCCACAGAAGGAGAAGGTCCGCTCTTTCTGGAGGGCGAGAGGACCTGTTTGGACATCCAAGCCTCTCTTGTGCCCAAGCGGCCCCCAAGCTCAGGGTAGACTCGCTAGACGTGTGAGGTTGGAGAGTTGAGCAGTGGGGACTTTCTGGATCTATTCACTTCTGCACCCCCAGAACACAGGCACAGCCAATTGGACTGACTCGGGCTTGAAGGCCCCAGTTCTGCCACCAGGGACCTCAGCACTGCTATCACCAAAGAGGCTGTCCAAGAGAAGGCAGAATGAAGGGAACACCCTTTCCAAGCGCCAGGCTTTGAAGACTTTGGGGCCTCTCCAGTATGACTGGTCAACCCATTCCAGCACCCAGCAGAGTGGGTGTAGAAAGAGGCAGGAAGAAGGCAGAGACTGCTGCCACTCACCTCCTCCGTCAGAAACTCTTTGCTCAGCCCAAAGTCCGTCAGGACGACATGGCCCTCCGAGTCCAGCAGCACGTTCTCCAGCTTCAGGTCTCGGTAGATGATGCCAAGCTGGCAGGGCGAGAGGGACACTGAGGCTTCCTCCCCTAAGACCCTCCCCAGCTCCTGCAGCTCGTGTCCCTGCTCAGGATAAGGAGACCCCCCTGGAGAAGGTCACCTGCCTGCAGAGGGGTCGGTTTCCAGGGCAGAGCTGGGCCATTGGAGAAAAAAAGCCATTTAAGATATATAAAGAAAGGGACGAGGGCCCCATGGACAGGCCCCAAGGTTCCAGAGAGAGGAAAGTCTGCGCGAAGAGCCCTATTTCAAGGAGGCCTTGGGAGCCAAGACCTGAGTTTTCCATTTGAGGAAGTTCTGTGAACACAGCCCAAGTTCCCCATGAGAAGAAAGCCCCTCCAGGCAGTGCTGAGGCTTCCTGCCAGGAGGCCTGGGGAAGCAGCTCCGTCCCCACCGAGGTCAGCACCTGCACCAGGGAGCCCAGAGACAGACCCAAGGCCGCCATGCGTTTGGGCCCCTTATAAGGCCCAGACCCAGGTCCTCACCCACCTTGTGCAGGTGTTCCAGGGCCAGCACGATCTCACCCCCGTACACGCGCACCTCAGCCTCCTTGAAGTACTGGCGCTGGTAGAGGTGGGTGAACATCTCGCCACCACTCACATAGTCTGGGAGTGCAGTGGAGGTTAGAAAGCAGCCCCATGGGGTGGCCTCACCTCCCCCCATCCCCCCCACACTGTTGATATGTGGTGTGCGCTCACCCAGGATGAGGTGCAGCTTGGCATCGGTCTGGAAGGCATAGTGCAGGGTGACCAGGAAGGGTGCCTGGCGCACCAGCTCCAGCACCGAGCGCTCAGTACGCGTGTGCTCCTGTGTCTTGGCACGCTGCACCAGCGCCGCCTTGCGCAGCACCTTCATGGCATACAGCTTCCCCGCGTCGTGCCCACCCGCCTTCCGCACCAGGAACACTTTCCCGTAGGCTGTGGGAGCAGCGAGTGGGCAGAGGGTGGGCTGTGAGCAGGAGGGTGGTGCAGACTAGTGGGGGTGCAGGCGATGCCAACCCAGGAGGGTGTGCAATTTGGGGGAAGAAGCAGGGGCGAGAGGCAGGTGTGCAAAAAGCTGGCACAGCCTTATAAGGAAAAGGTGTGCACACCCCAGGAGGGTGCTCCGCAACCAGAGAAGGGGCGTGCAAACCCAGCTAGGGAGCATGCAACTCCAGGAGGCCTGCAGCCAGGGGTGGGGGTGGGGCATGTGCAAACCTGCGAAAGATCAGATGGATGTGAAAGGATGCAAATGCAAGGAAGGAAGGCAGAGGTGTGCTCCAGGCCAGTTGGGGGATGTGCACACCAGGCCTGGGGAGTTTGAAAAACGTGGGAGGGGGCTCTCATATTGGGAGAAGGGGAGGAGCTGTGTAAATCACTTGGGAGGGGTGCAAGCCCCCAAGGGTGTTGGCACACCCGGAGAGGGGGCATGCACACCCAGGACCTTGCAGGGAGGAATGATGTCAGCGTGGAGTGCCCTGGAAGTGGGCATGCAAACCCTGGCTAGGCAGGGCGGGGCAGGCAAGGCAGGCTTTGACGGGAAAGGGTGGGGGGCCTTCCCAGTGGCCTGGCCCAGGCTCAGGCGGGTGAGCAGACAGGAGGCCCAGGGCACAGGGCCTGGGACAGTGCCCGGTGGATGGGGGTCCTCACCTCCCGTGCCCAGCACCTTGAGCAGCTCGAAGTTCTCCACGCTCACCTTCTCCTCGTGCCCGGTGAGGTTGGCTGCGAGCACAGGGGGTGAATGAGCCCACCCAGCCCATGACCCCTCCCGGCCCGCCGGGGGCAGCCGTCAGGGGTTCCACACCCACCTTCCGTGATCCACAGCTCCACGGCGCAGCCCTCTTCCTCGTCCTCGTCCCCCATGGCGGGCGGGTCGCTGGGGCCCGCGCGGCTCGGGCTCCGGGCGGCGCCGGTTACATGGCGGCTCCGGCCGGGGCGGGCGCTTCCTGGTGCCGCCTCCGGGGCCGAGTCGGGCGCCGGCGCCGCCTCCCGGCTCCCCGCCCCGCGGCCTGAGTCAGGCGGCTGGAACGTGACAGCGCCGGGCTGCGGGTGGGCGCCGGCGGGGGCGGCCCTGTCCCTGAGCCGGGGCAGGCGTCAGAGCTGTGCGCTCCGGAACCCCTCTGGAGCCTCCGGGTAACTGGAAACACCCCGCGGGAGCCATGCCTGCGACCGAGGACAACCTGGAGCCCCTGTTGGGCCAACGCCCCCAAGCCAGGTGTCTGCCCCAGGACGCTGCTATAGCCAGTGGTGCCCCCAGGGTGGGGGAGGGGTGCCCGCACTGGCGTTTATAGAGCCCTCCCTGCTACCTGCGCCAGCCTGAGGGCAACCAAGCATCTTCTGTTCAATTCTCTTAGCCACCAGCCAAAGTAAGGAGGGTTTAATAAAAATCACAACCCACCCACTTCGTTTTTGATCACTCCCTGACCGTAGCAAATAGGGAAGGAATTGGTATGTCCCCTTGACAGATGAGCCGCCTGAGGCCAGCAGCTGCCAGCACAGGCTCAGCCCTGCCGTGGCGCACGTGCTTCCTGCTGGACAGGCTAAGGGGGGTTTGGATTCCATAAAGTCACTCAGATCTCTGCGGTGGGGCCAGCCTGGCCAAGCCCCTCTCCCTTGTGGACTTGCCTTTGCTGGGAGAGGAGCTTTGTCCCTGAGAGGAGGCTGGAGCCAAGCTGGGACCCGGTGGCAGGGAGGAGTGGCTGACTTTCTGACCAGTTCTCTCTAGAGGGAGCCTGCCAAAAGCACCTGCGTGGCCCCCAGCGACTGTTCGCAGCCCACCAGGTTCCATGCACACCTCATGTAGTTCTTTCCCCAGCCCAGAGCCACTGGGGCAGACCCCTCTCCCCATCAGGCCCAGAGCCCTAGGCTGGCCAGTCCCCCAGAGCCTCTGCCCCCTCCTCTCCCTGCCTCTCCCTCTGTCCACTGACGCAGGCGCCACAAAGCAAGGCAGGGCAGCCATCAGAGCCCCCACCCTGAGGCCTAAGGGAGGGAGTTTGCAGTTGCTCTGCCAGCTGGAGGCAGGGGGTCCTCCCCCACTCCACCGCCCTGCGAAGCTCTGGCAGAGAGGAGGCAGGAGTTAGACTGCAGCTCGTACTGGGGAGGATGGACTGGCCGCCCCTCCCAGCTCTGCCCACCCCCAAATTCAGGCTGCGGCATCTCAGCCCCAAGCAGCCCCACCCTCCCCTGGGCGGCCCCAGGTGCCCTGACTCACATCCTGCCAACCTGCCTAATTGCCCCTTCTGAGGCATCATGCTAGAAGCCCTGGTCGGAGAGCTGGCGTCCCTCCTACCTCTTGTAGCAGCCCCTGGCACTAGGTGATGCCCCACCGGGCCATGAACTCCCTGGGGAAGGGCTCAACTTCAAAGGCGTGGGACAGAGGATGAGGAGGCAGGAAGACGTGAACCGAGAGAAGAGGGTTTGGGAGAGAGGGTGGGAGTGGGGCCATAGGGGCTTCACTGCCCCTCACCCCTGAGCCCAGACCTCAGACCCCACCCACTTCTGGCTGCCCAAAGTGCCAGTCCCCTCCCCACCCCCTGCCACATCCAGGCTTTGGCCAGCCTGCCTGGCCAAGCCCCTGAAGAAAGCCCTTTGCTGTGCTGTCCAGGCAGGGGCCCTCTGACCAGACCCCATCGCCATCCAGAAGGACAAGGCCACATGTGCTCTGGGGCCTCAGGATGCCCAGACGCAGCCAGTAGACACAGATCCCAACTCAGGTGGTTGTATCTCAGTTTTATTCTCATGTCCCTCAGTCCCGGCTAAGGCTCAGTTATCAGCCCAGGCCACAGTCCCCGGGAATGAGCCCCGGCTCCCTGCCTGGACTGGGCAGGGGGCTCTCTTGCCCACTCCTGCCAGCCTCCTTCAGCTGGGGGATCCCCCAGAGACCGCCTCCCCTGCAGGGACGACACAGCCAAGCCTGAGCCCTGGTCTGGAGCCACTTGTGGAGGCCAGCCGTCCCCCCTGTCCACAAATTTGTTGCAGCTCCCTCTCAGGGCCCCAGTGCTAGCCATGGAGGACACAGGGGCCCAGACCTCCTTGTCCAAGGACTCCCCTCGGGGGCCCTGGCTTCCCGAGATCTTGGTCTGCCTGGGGCCCCCACTGACACTCCAGCGGCGAGAGGTCTGCACTCCCAAGCCCCCTGTCCCCATGGTGTCACTGGCTGAGGGAAGGGGTGAGGGGACGTTTCTCCGGTTCCTGTACCTGGAGGCCTGGAAGGAAAGGCTTAGTTCAGGCCCACCTCCCTCAGGAGGACTCCTGGCGTTCAAGGTGGCCCACAGGCCTTTGCCCTTTCTGCCCACCCTCCACCCCCTCTAACTCCTCCCCTCCGACTGCACCAGCTGCCCTCCCAGTGCTCTACCAAGCCAGGCCTTTCTTCAGCCATTCCCTCTGCCCAGGAATGCTGTTCCCTCTGCCTGGAATGCTGTTCCACCTCTAAGGCAGACATGACAAACCTTCACCTCCAATTTCTGCTCCAACTTCACCTCCTCTCTGAGGCTCGCCCTGAACACCCTAGTCAAAATTGCAACCTGCCCACCCAGAGCTCCTGACACCTCCCCCTCCCTCCCGTCTCCTCCCAGAGGATTAGCACCTCCTAGTGCTCTAGGGCAGAGCTGCCGTGTAGGAGGCTGAGCAGGTGGAACGTGGCTGGCCTGAACGGGTGACGTACTTCAAAGACTTATCATGGAAAAATCACATCTAATACTTCATTCATGATTTTTTACACTGACTACATGTTGAGTTAAATAAGATCTGTTATTAAAATTCATTTTACCTGTCTCTTTTTACTTTTCCTGATGAGACTACTGGAAAAGTTAAAGGCTACATATACGGCTCACATCAGTTTCTAGTGGTCGGGACTGTTGTAGATAATAATTATTTTTATGCAAATCATTTACCGTCTGCCTCCCCATACCAGAATGTTCCCTGCTGCGTCCTCAGCTAGCACACCACCTGGCACTTGGTAATGGATCATTGTCAAATGAGAGAATGGATGAATGAAGTCTGCCAGGGGCCCTGGCAGGGCAAATAACCCCACTCCTTCCCCAGACCCCACTCACCCTCTCGGTTGGCATCTGCTTCGTGTTCCTGGAGGGTCTCAACGGAGTCATCCCATCCCACGCCAGGTCCTGGGAGGCACAAGGCAGCCACTAGGCCCCTCAGACCAGTGCAGAGGTGGGCAGGACTTGCAGGAGACAGAGGGGACAGGAAGGAAGCCCCCTCCCCCAAGGAGCTGGTGGGTCCATGGAAAGTTGGGGGGCTAGCAGGGACAGGGACCCTTGTCCCTCACCTTTGCCGTGGGAGCTTGGTGCCTCCAAGGGACCTGGACGGCGCTGTCGGAATCGCTGTCGGGGGGTGTCCCCCGGGCTAAATGACTCAGAGCTTCGCCCCACAGGAAACCTTGAGCTGAGTTTCCGCCGCTGCCCCCCTGCCAGAGTCTCGTCCCGCAAGCAGAGGGAGCTCTGGGCCCGGCGCATGGGTGCCGGCGAAGGGGGCCCTGCAAGAGGCACATGCAGGGAGGGTGTCAGAGAAGGGCAGGCGGGGTTCAGTCGCAGCGGAGGGGCCAGCGGGTGAAGCTGCACAGAGCCAGCAAGGGGAGAAGCAGAGGTGGGGGCCAGGCAAATGAGGCTGGGTGGGCCCTGGCCTGACCCTGACACTAGCTTACTGTGTGACCTTGGGCAAGGAACATCCCCACCCTGGGCCTCAGTTTCCTCATCTGCTATCTAGGATAAACGATCTCTCACTAGAGTCCCCTGCTACTCTGAGGTCCTAGGCGCCACTGCGGATGGGGTAGGCTGGGTGGCTGGCAGGGAGGCAGCAGGGAGGTGCCAGTCAAGAGGGACCCTGCAGGGCCCAGGGCAGAGAGCACGGGAAGCATCTGGCAGGGTGGGGAAGCGTCAGGGAAGGCAGGGAGGTGGGGGACATGTGTGCAGGCCAGGCAGTGAGGCAGGCACTAAGGTGGGGGTGGGGGATGTGGGGAAGGGACCATCCTGGTCACCTGGCCCCCAGACCCACCTGTCCCATCTGCCTCCCTGCCCTCGGGGAGCTCCGTCTCCGGGGGGCCCCCCAGGCTCTCGGTGCTGCCAGCCCCATCGGCCCCCAGGCGTGGCCCCCCATGGGGGCCCCCCTCCCGCCAGGGCCGCATCAGCCTCTTCACCTTGTCTGCCAGCCAGCTGCCCTTCCTGGGGGCAAGAGGGCACAAGAGGGGGTAAGGACAGGGAGGAAGGAAGGAGAGGAGGGTCGTATTGGGGATGGCAAAGGCCAGGCCAACCCTCACTGAGGCCAAGACATGAGCTGGGCCAGGGTCAGAGGGCAGGCCAGGGCTTGGCAGGATGCCCGGCCCAAGGTGGGTAGGGCCACTCACTTGGTCCGGGGCAGGGGCCCAGGCTCCAACACGCGGTACTGATCCATGATCTTCTCCACGAGCTTCTGCTTCTCGCGGCGCAGGGCATTAAGCTGGTCCCTGGCAGGAGGAGGAGGGGGGAGGTGGGCATGAGGCTCGGGGAGGCCTAGCACCGGACGACCAAAGGGGAGTCCAGGCCCACCCAGCTCCCGGCAGCCTGCGCACAGGTACTCGCGCTGCTCGCGGTGCAGGTGGTCCCGGCTCTCCAGGCTGCGCTCCAGAAGCTCCCTGTTCTCCCGGCTCAGGGCCTGCACTTCGGCCAGCAGCTGCCTGTTCTCCTCCTCCTGGGCGCTCCGCAGCTGGGTCAGCAGCTGGCGGGCAGCAGCAGGGGTCAGGGGTGGAGCCAGGTGGCCCCCTTCACCTCAGCCACCCCCAGCCACCCCCAGCCACCCCCTGCCCACACCTCACACTGTGTGGTCAGCCGGCAGGCGCTCAGGTCCAGCTGCTGGTTGGACTCGCGCAACTGCTGGCTCTGCATCTCCAGCTGCGCCCGCTCCAGCTCCAGCCTCGCCAGCCGGCCCCGCAGCTCCCCGCGCTCACCCTGCAGCTCACCTCGCTCTCGGGACACTTCCGCCAGCAGCATCTGAGCCCTTCAGAGGCAAGAATAGCTGCTCTCCAAGGGGCCTCACTCCCCAGAGCCCTCGTGCCAGCCGGAGGAGTTACGCCGGGGAGAGGAAGCAGGGCAGGACCCCACACCCAACCCACTTCACAGGAGGGAACACTGAGGGCGGCCTGAGCCGGGGGCTGTGCCAGGACTGGCACCTGTCGTGCTCGCTCTGCAGCCTCCGCAGCTCCTCTTCCAGTCCCCGTTGTCGGTGCCCGTCCCGCATCAGGCGTTCACGCTCTGCCAGCAGGGCCACCTCCTGCGCCTCCACGTTGGCCCGCTGGGCCTGCAGCTGCTCATGCCTGGGATGGACAAGTGGTTAAGAGGCTGCAGGGGCTTGGGGCCATAGCAAGCAGGTGGCTAGACCGTCTGGACCTGAGGGAGTCCGGACCTGAGGGAGTCCGTCATCACCTAAGCACAGGCCCCCAGGCAAAGCTGTCAGGCAGAATGCCAGGAGCCCGCCACTCCCAAGAGATAAGCTCCTCTGTGAACCAGCCCAGAAGTATGGGGAGCCCAGCCACGTGCCCCAGGGCCACAGCAGCAGCTGGGGCTTCGCAGAGTAAAGTGGATGTGCTTCCCGGTAGGGTCGGGCTTGCTGAGGGAATCTGCTCTGACAGTTAGGGGTGTGGGGAGAGGGCTGGGTGTGTGGGGAGGCTCACCGGCCCTGCAGCTCCCGGTGGGCCAGCTCCAGCGCCCGCATGTTGGCCTTGAGGTCTCGGTGCCGCACCAGCAGGCCCTCTAGCTCAGCCTCCTGCCGCCGCTGCAGTTGTGCCAGGGCCTCATGATCCCGCAGCAGGGCCTGCTGCTGCCCCCGGGTCTCCTCCTGGGACCGCCGCGCCGCCCGCACCTCCTCCTCCAGCACCCCCAGCTTTCTGTGCAGCTCCTGGCCCTGCGTCTCCAACACAGACTTCTCGGCCTAGGACAGAGAAGGCGGGCAGGGACCACTTTCCAGCGTGGAACCCCAGGCTGGAAAGAAGCTGAGGGGCAGGGGGCCAAGGGCAGAGGACAGGGCCAAGAACAAAGAAAGAGCTGTGGAGGAGGACGGCTGAGGCAGGGCAGTGGTGAGTGGGCAGGGAATGGGGCACCCAGGCCACCACCCACCTGCAGCCGGCTGCTCTGCTCCTGCGCCCGCTGGCTCTGCTGCAGCAGCTCCTGGGCACGACCCTGCAGGCTCCCCAGCTGCCCCTCCAGGTGCTGCAGCTGCCCCTGCAGAGCTGCCTTCTCAGCCACCAGCGTAGCATTCTGCCCAGAAAGGGGTGGTCAGCAGTGGCCAGGAGGCCGGGCACCCCCAGCGCTCATGTCAGGCCAACACTCACACTGCGCTCCACCTCGATGAGCCGCACATGTGGGGTCTCCACCATCTGAGGCTTGGCCTGCTCCCGGGGTCCCAGCCCCATGGAGCCCTGGTGCAGCTGCAGGAAGAGAGGCCCTAGGAGGTCACGCAAGGCAGCAGCGGCAGCTTCGGGATGCCCCTTCAGCAGCATTTAACACTGCCCATGCCTTCCCCTCGATCCTACAAGCCCCCACTCCCGGCTCCCGGTTCCCGGTTCCGGAAGCTCCAATGATCTCGACCCTGCCCTTCCCAGCTTCTCTCGGTCTGTGGCAGAGCCTTGCCCTGGCCCACGCTATTTCTCCTACACGTAACATCCTCTCCATCCTGCTCTTCCTCCAAGCCTCAGTTTCAACACTGCTTGCTCCAGAAAACCTCCCCTGACCGACCCTATGTGAGCCTGCCAGGCACCTTGCTGGGCACTGCCGCCAGCCCCTGCATGACCTCATCACAGTCCCTGGCACCCTGTGTTATCGTCGCTTGTTTTCTTGCCTCTATCCTGACTGGACTATGAGCTCCCTGAGAGCGGACGCCTGGTATGGGGCCCCACCGCCACCCCGCACTCAGCACTGAGCCTGCACACAGTGGGACGTCAGAAACAACCACTGGCTTAGGATGATGCCAATAGCTAAGCTTGCTAGGAAGTGGTGGAGCAGGGCGAGGGAGGCAGAGCAGACACCTCACAGGAGAGGCTCTGGGCGCCTGCAGAACGTGGGGGACAAGGCCCTGAGAGGCCGCACAGGCACCTGACTCCCAGCTCGGTGCACCCTCCCGCAAGCGAGTAACTTAGCCAAGAATCCAGGGGCAAGACCAGGAGCACAGGCGACCCCGGAGCCTGCCGTGGGATGGAGGGAGGGGTGGCACGTGTCCCGGGCTCCCAGGGCTGCACGGGCCTCACCTGGAACAGCTCCTCTTCCAGCTGCAGGGCCCTGGTCTTGAGCTCCATCAGCGCCTCCTCCTTGCTGGTTGCCGCCGCCTGCAACTCAGCTTCCAGCCGCTGCTCCAAGCCCTGGTACCTGCCAGGAGAAGCCTTGGCACCCATCTCCACCCCACCTTATCCCTCCTCAAGCCCCTGGCTGCCCTCCTCTGCCCCTTGGCACCACCCCGACCTCTGGTTCTGGCTCTCCTGTTCTCGAAGAAATTCCTGGCGCTCCAGAGCCGCCTGTTCCAGCTCATGCTGCAGATGCTCCAGCCGGGCTCCCAGCTCCTTCCCCCGCACCACGGCCTTCTCCAGTTCCTGAGGGCAGGCGGAGCAGGCTCGGGGTGGGTGGGGGTTGGGGAACCCAGGCACGCAGAGCCAGAGACAGGCCTGAGAGAGAATCAGGAGCCTGGCTTTCTGTCCTTGCTCTGCTACCCTGGGCAAACGCCTTTAACCCTTTGGGGCTCTACAACCCCATCTATAAAATGGGAGCAAATCCTGGTGGCCTTGCAGACGGGGCATGAAAGAGCTGGGAGTCATAAGCCTGGCAGGGTGTGAGGGAGGCCCCTGGGCCAGGAGTGACAGACACGTGCTGGGCAATTGCCTTCACCTCTTTGAGCCCATGGCTCCTCACGTGCACAGTGACAGGCAGACGTGCCCGATGGGCTGCCGCTCCGGCCATGTGACGGTAAGAAGGCCTCAGCAGAGGCGGGTCTGGTGAGTGCCCTTGGCCACAGGGGGATGGTTTGGGGATGCTGGCAGGACAAGAACTTAGGATTGGCAGGCCTAACCACAGTGGGGACCGCCGGTGGAGCAGGTAGGCCAGGTTGCTGCCAGCCAGGCGCCCCGTGGCCTTTGGCAGTTGGGCCGCACCATTTCGGAAGGGGGTGGGAGGCCCACTCTGGTCTGTGGCCCCAGGGGGAGGTAGACCAAACCATTCTGACATGCGGGGGCCCTGGCAGGATGAAGCCATGGGGAAGGCCGTCCCTGACCAGCCACCTGCCAAATCCTGTGTCTGGAAACCAAGGCTACAAGCCTCTGCTGCTGAAAACCATCTTCCTGGCTGAAAAACTGCACTCAGGCCTTGCCCCCGGGGCACTGCACTTCCTAACACCCTTGGCCACAGCCTCTCAATAAAAAACTACAAGTCCCATGAGGCACTGCCACCTGGCTGCAGGCCGCCACTAGAGCCCAAGTGCTGGGGCAGGAAGGATGGTGAGGCAGAGACGGGAACCTCCAGCCCACACCCTGCCCTGACCGCCTCCAGGCCCTGGCCATCGCCCTCCCACGCTGGGAATCCTACTGGGGCCTCCTACTGGGTTCCTACTGGGCCCCTCCACCCAGCTCAAGAGGCTTCCACGCCCACACGGACAACCCCAGAGACCCCCGTTTCCCTGACCTCCCCCTGGCCAGCCACCTCCTCCTGTGCTACACCCAGGTAGCATCTGAACTGCTCCAACCAGGAAATCTCATAAAATTCCCATGTTCCCAGCTTATCCCACCCTCTCACCCTCAGAGCTGGCTCTTCCAGTCCTACCCTCACCCTCACTGCCTATCTGCTGGCATTCCCTCCCTACGGAGTAAGCCCTCCCGTGCTAGATGCCAAGCATGGGCCCGAGCCCCCAAGCTGCCCTGCCTGCCAGGGTGACCCTCCTCAAACCCAGCCCCACACACGTCTGCCCACACCCTTGCGTGGCTTCCCCCACCTGGGGGTGGAGCACCAACAGCTTCAGCTGGCCCCCAGCCCCCCACTCCTCCTGGGCCCCTGAGCATTTTTAATGCCTTAAAGTCCTCACACATCCTGTTCCCTCTGGACAAAATGTCCTTCCTCACCTAGTGAAATTTTGTTCGCTCCTCCCTGAAGCCTCCTTGCCCCAACCCGGCATCAGCTCCACCTCCCTTGGCCCCCGAAGCACTTTGCTCTGAGCGAGCATTTCTTGAACACTTACAACATGCCTTGGCCTGGCCAGAGCCAGGCCCTTGCACCATTACCTCCAGGGGTCTTCCCAAAGACCCACTGAGGTGGCTATGAATGGTACCCCCATTTTATAGAAGGAGGCCCTACAGTCTCCACAGGGTCAACTGCTGCAGCCAGAGGGCCAAGATGCAGGCCCGGCAGTCTCATCCCCTCCTATGGTGCCTCCATCAGTGGCTCTGTGTCCCAGCCAGGCGCACCTTTGGAAGGCAGGGGAGGGCTTGGCCTTTCTGTCTCCAGCCCCAGCCAGATGCAGGGCATGCTGATAGAATCAGTAACCCCAAACCCCAGCAACTGGCCTGGAACCCTGTTTCCTGCCCCCAGCTGTGAACCCCACCTACCTCCCTGAGGGCCTGCTTCTCCCTCTCGGCCTCCTCCAGCTGCCGGCAGCCCTCACTCTCCAGCGCCTGCAGCCGTTGCTCTGCGGCCTCGGCCTGGGCCCGCAGCCTGGGCCCCTCGCGCTCCCACTGCCTCCGCTCGCGGCCTGCTGCTGCCAGCGCCTCCGCCAGTGCCTCCCGCTCCCGCGACGCAGCCTCCAGCTCCCGGCCAGCTGCCTCCACTGCCTCCCGCAGCCGGGTCTGCTCTCGGGCCTGGGCCTCTGCCTCCTGGTGGGCCTCAGCCTCTGCCCTCTGTGCTTGGGCCAGCTCCTCAGCGAGGCGGGCAGCTTCCTTGCCACGGGCCTCCAGCCTTCGGGCCTGCACCTCCAGCTCCGCTCCAAGGGCCTCAGCCTTTCTCCTCAGCTGTGCCACCTCCCCTTTGAGGGCCTCCTGCTCTGGGACCCCACTGGCCTGGATCTCCCCTGGGATCTGCCCCTCCCAAGCCTGGGCCTCAGAAGCCTCTTTCAACTTCTGCTGTGCTTCCTGCTGGGCTGGGTTCCAGGCCATCCCCTCCAGCCTCCGTTCATGCTCTCCGGTCTCTGTTCGTCCCGGGGACAGGTCCCAGCCCTGGCTTGGGCTTTCCTGCTCCTCTAGCTGCACGTGGAGGCTGGGCTCTGAGGGTCTCAGCTTGTGCTCAGGGCCCTCCTGTCTTGGTCCCCAAGACTCGGGCATCAACTCATCTTGGGGAGCCTCTCCTCCTCCAGTCTCTCCTCCTAGCAACTGCTGGGCCTGAATTTTGATCTCTGGACCCAGAAGTGGAGCCACAGAGGTGGGGGTCTGGAGAGGAACTCCATGGCCAGCCTTCTCCAGGGACTCCTGTGTCTCCACAGCAGGGTCTGACTCTTGAGGGGTCAAGTCTTTAGTCTGGGGGGCCATGGTAGCCACCTGGAGAGGCCTTTCTGTCACCTGTGGGTCTGAATCAGATGCCTGGGGACACTCAGCTGACCCCTTGAGGGCTGAGTCTGATGCCAGGGGAGGAAGGTCCAAGGCCTGGGGGCCTCCATGCCCTGCCTGGTGAAGCAAGCCCTGGGGGCTGCGGTCTGAGGCCAGGGGAGGCTGGGGAGCCTCATCCAGCCGGGGAGACATGGAGTCCTCTCTTTGCTCTTCCAGCAGGGGGCGCTGAGGGCACATGAGAGGCACAGTCAGGCCCAGGGACAGACTGGGGAGGGACCTGCCAAGACAGTCGGGGAGGGGACTCACCTGGCCACCTGGCTGCCCCTTTAGCACCTGAAGCAGTCCTCGAAGCTCCTGATTCTCTCGCTCGAGGATCCGCAGGCGCCCAGCCTCTGCCTCCCTCACCTCATCTTGCAATGAGGGAGCCACTCCTGGCAAGGGTGCTGGGGGGTGTGAGATGAGGTTGGGACCCCTCCCATACCCCCTGGCTCCTCACAAACACCCCCAGAGACCTGGGGAAGGGATGAGATCAGAAGCCTTTCCCACTGCAGCTGCTGGAAAACCCTGGCAGCCCCACACCAGCCACTCCACTGGGCCCCACTCACCCTCCCCAGGGGAGCCCGGGGGTGACTCCAGGCTCCGCCGAAGCTCCAGCTCCAGCTCCACGTTCTCCTCCGCCAGCTGGTCCACCTGATGCCTCAGAGAGTCCAGCTCCTGGGGGCGAGGGCAGGGTCAGACAAGCCCTCCCCGCCATGGTCAGGCCAGGTGTGTAAACCAGAGGGTCACTAGAGGTCACAGGGATCACTAGGAACCCTGAGGTATCACTGGGGTCACCAGTGGTGACAGGACAACCCAGCTGGGATCACTCTGGCGACCTCACCGCATGGGCCTCGCCCAGCCTGGTCCGCAGCAACAGATTCTCGCGCTGGGTCTCATGCAGCCGGGCGCAGCGCTCTCGGGCCGCCTCCAGCTGCTCTTCCAGCAGCACTTTGGAGGCCTCCAGAGCCCCTGAGAGCACCTGCTCCTCCTGGCGGGAGAGCAGGGAGAGACAGTATGATGCAGTCCCATGTGCTCCAGGGCCTGGACGTCCCAAACCCCTTCCCCTGGGCCTGCCAGACCCCGTCTCCCCTCTCCCATCTGGCCCTGCACCCCTATCACCTCTCCCCTCCATCTCCCCCTCTCTGCCGGGTCTCCCCAGGTACCGCTTCCCCAGCATCTGGCCCCGCCCTTTTCCCGTGCAGGCCCCGCCCCTTCTCCCCAGGAACCGCTTTCAAGGCTCCATCCCTCCAGGCCCTACTCATCAGTACCCCTACTTGCTAGGGTCTCGCTCCAGACCTGCCCCCCTGCACTTGACCCCACCCTCCTCCGAGGACCTACCCTTACATAGCCCCCCTCCTCTCCATCTGCCCCATCCTTCAGCGGGCCTTTCCCAGGCACCACCTCCCTGCGCTTGTCCTCACCCATTTCTCCTAGCCGGACGTTCTCTCCACAAAGCCTGACCCTCTCTTCTCTAGGCCCCATCTCGCCCCTCCTCTCAGCCCGCCCCTCCGCGCAGGCCCCGCCCCCGACTCCGCCCCCCGCCTCACCGCCAGCTGGCCCTTGCAGGCCTCCGCCGCCTGGAGCCGCTCGCGACAGCGCCGCAGCTCCTCCTGCAGGCGGGGCAGGCGGCCCGCACGCTCCCGCAGCGCCTCCGCCTCCTCGCGGTACAACTCGGCCCGCTTGGCCTGTCCGGACAGCGCCTGGGCCTGGGCCAGACAGTGCAGAGCTGGGAACGGCCAGCCGTGGATCCGAGGGATTAGGGACGGGAGGAGCGGGGTCGGGAGGGAGGCAATGGGACCGGGTCAGGGAGGGTTAGGGAATGTGGCGGTGGCGGGGAGCATCTGAGCGCACCTCCTGGCGGAGCCTTCGAATTTCAGCCTCCAAGCCCTGCACCTCCGCCTGAGAGTCTAGCAGCAGCTCAGCCTTCTCCTCCCTGGAGGGAAGGGGTGCTGGAGGGGTCTGGAGCCCGCAACCCCCAGCCTTTCCTAAGCCTAACCCCTCCCCTACACACCGCACCTGGGGCCCTATCCAAACCTAATCTGCCCCTCTCCCCTCGGGTCCCCTGGCCATCCTGTGTGCACTCACAGCTCCTGCCGCAGGCGCCGCAGCTGAGCCTTGGCATTGGCCAGCTGCAGGACCAGATGGTGAGATGGTCCCTCCGTGCGAGCCCTAGCAGAAGCCTCAGGCGGCAAGGGGGCTGGCTGTCGCTCCAGCAGCAGTTCAGCCAACCGCTGTAGGAGGTAAGGGTCAAGATCAGGAGTAACCCTTCCCATGCCGCCCCACATTGGCCCCCAATCACCACAAGATGCATCAGATTGTGACAGCCCTGCTGGCCCAAGACCCCAGACCCCAACCCCAGACCTGGGCCCCAAACCTCCATCTCCCCCACACATCTGGCTTCCCACTGTTACGCTCATTTCCTCAACTTGTGTCCATGAAGCCCCTGCTGCCCTCTACCTGGGCGCCCAGGTCACGCTCCCATGCCAGCTTCGACAGTGTCCCCATCAGGTTCCGACACAACACCTCCAGCTCCGGAGGCGCCAGCTCCCCAGGCTCTGGCCCAGCCAGAGCCAGCACCACGCCAGCCCCAGACTGGGTCACCTGGGGCACAGGGAGAGTAGTTCAGGGGGAGAAAAGTGTGGTGAGGGTGTCCCCAGGTAGCTGTGGCAGTCCCAGGCTCAGTACCTCCTGGATGGCAGCGGCCAGCTCGCTCTGGACCTCAAGGCTGAGGCCCCGGATGTGGCGGATGAAGAGTTCCCGGTGCTCACACTGGGGAAGACAGGAGCAGGGAGGCTGGTGCAGGATCTCCCTCTTCTGCAGCCAAAACTCAGCTGTACCCATCCCAGCCCCCAGCTCACCTGCACTGATGCCCCCAACAATAGCCGCAGGATGCCTTCCAGTTCCTCCACTGCCTCCTCTGTGGGGCACAAGCCACAAGGGGTTAATGGGTAGGGGGTGCGGGGGTAGCAGCAGGAGGACGTGGTGGAAGCGAGCACCTGAGAAGGGGTCGAACCCCAAAGTCCGCAGGTCTGGGGGTGGCGACAGGATCAGCAGCTGCAGCTCCTCCTAGAGACAGAGAGGGTAGATGACACAAGAGGGGCCTTCCCGCAGGGGGCTCCCAGTCCCCGCCTTCCCCTCCCTGTCCCTCACCTGATAGAAGTCCCTCAGTCGGCCCCACAGGTGGTTCAGGTTCCGCACACGCCAAGCTGCAGGTCCGTCATGGCCCCGCACCATTCGAGGTCTCCCTCGGGCCCTGGGGGTACTGGGGGTACGGGAGGCAGGCCGGGGACGGAGGCAGGGAGGAGAACTCGAGGACCCGCCTCCCCTCAACCAGGCCCCGCCCACCACCACTCAGGCTCCTCCCACCAGCCTGCCCTCCCCTCAGGTCCTTCTCTGCCACTCCCCGGCCCTGGTGCCCCTTACATGATGCCCAAGACCCGGAGGAGCAGGGCCCCATCGCTGAGACGCAGGAACTTCTTCTCTGGGCAAAGGGGCCCCTCTTCCTCCTCCTCCTCCTCTTCCCCCTCCGGCTCCTCCACCTCCCCCACCAGCTCTGCCAGTCCCAGCGCCTGTGGGGAGCCAGAAGGGTCTGCAGGACTGGACCGGCAGGAGCCCCCACCAGCAGAGTGACTCCCAAGCCCTCTGACCTGCCCCGGTGAGGCCAATCATGCCGCTCACCAATCCCCTGACCCCTCTGGTTCCGGGTCTGGACCCTCTTCCCCTCACCACAGTCCCCTGGATTTCTCCATCCCCCACACTTGAGCCCAGCTCTCCCTTCAGACCCTAGCTCTGCCCCACCCTCCCCCAGCGCCCACACCAGCCTGCTGGGGCTCACTTCCCTCCCCCTCCTCCTCCCCCCTGCCCCCTCACCCAGGTGGCCAGACTCCCACTCAGGAAGTCTCTGAGTCTGGGCCCCTTGCCCCCCTCCATGCCAGGGTGAGGGTGCCGGTCTGCTGTGGCAGCTGCACCTGCCCTGAGAGGAAGAGGAAGTCCCCGAGTGGGGGATCCCGGGCCCAGCCACAGACACTCTGTACAGCTTCCTCCTTCCGGCTTCGGGCGGCCCCGCGCACCCCCAGAGTCCTGCCTCAGCCCTCACCTCACCACCCCGCATCCTCCCAGCATCTCAGGCAGGGCTGGCCCAAAGGTTAGCCAGGGAGGCTCATAGCTCCCCTCGCTCAGTGGACACGGGTAGGTGAGTCCTTTGCCTCTCTGAGCCTTGTTTAGCCAACTCAAAACAGGAGGACAAGAGGATGACCTCGGCCTTCACCCTCCAGGGCCTCCAGAGGGGCTGCGGGCCTCACATGGTGGGTCTGGGTGCCCACACATGTATCTTCTGATGCGCCAGGCTTCGTTCATTAGCTCCCCCTTCCCTTTCCCCTGATGTTTCTCAAACTTGCACCAACTGCCCCACCTGTGAAGCCTGGTTGAGATGCCACCTCCCCCAGGAAGCCTCCTCCAAACCCCAGAAGGAAGCAAGCTCCCCTCCTCTGAGCCCACCCCACCCCGTACTCTGTACACACTGGACTGAGGGCAGTGTCGCTGTACTAGGTGCCATGAGGGGAGGGGATTTGACCTTGGCAGAGTGGCCAGGGAAGGCATCCCAGAGGAGGCATGAGATCAGGGGTGACCGGGTTAACTAGGCAAAGGGGGTGGGGGAAAGGAAAGGTATGCCAGGCAGCAGGCAGCTAGGGGCATGGTCAGTGTAAAGATCAGAAATTATTCATGTTTTCTCTATTCCAACACACTTTATTTTTCACGTTTCACAACTCAGAAGTCAGGTCGTATGGTACAGTTGCTGGCTGGCTGGCTGCAGTCCTGACATAGTTGTCAATTGCCTGCTCATGCTCACGCTTCAAAGCCCCAGCATCAAATCCTGAAGAAAGGGTGTCAACTGCTTGGAAAAAACCCCAGAGTCAAGAGTGGAGCACTTTTTAGCCCCAGGACCCAAATGGTGGGAGCCCCCAGGGGAGGGGAACCAGGCTTGTCAGCAACGCTCCCACAGCAGAGTGAAAATTCAATCGGCTCTTCTCTTCTGCAGATTGCAAAGCTGCCTTAAGAAATCCTGGCTGTTTTATGACTGTTTTATGCAATGTTTGAAGGAGGGCTGCTCGCTCTAGCACTCCTGACAGCTCAGAGAAGGAAATACACAGACATCACGACTCTCAGACCAAAAATGATTCGCGGGAGTCAGACTCTAAATGTGAAGGAGTTTTCCAAACACGGCAACAAATTTATTTTGCCTCCATTATCCTTTTTATATGTGCATGAGAATTATATATGATGAGAGTCTACATCTCAGTCAAACAGTTCTTTCGGGAAATATAAAAGAAAAATGATGTGATGAAAGAGCCTTGGGACATAGTTGACTGGCAACATTCTTTTTTTCCTTCGTGACACCTTTTACAATCGCTGACACCTTAGGTTTGTTGAAATACGGGGTAATGATAACAGTCATAGCACACACAGGCTTGCCGCGAGCCAGGCAGGGTTATAAGTGCTTCACGCTTTATTTGCTCCAGACGAGTCTGTGAAATAAGGACTAGGGATCACCCCCATTTTACAGAGGAGGAAACTGAGGTGCAGAGAGGTTAAGCAACTTGCCTAAGGTCCCACAGCACAAGCATTCATTAAATGGCCCCGCTCACCCCCCCCCCGGGGATTCCAGCACAGGAATGCCCAAGGAGCACCTGCTCTGAGCCGGCCCAGCAGGGCCCGCAGGGCTAGCCAAGCGATGACTGGGGCTCCTCTCCTGGCCTGCTGGGGGCCTCTGTCTTGCTCAACATCTCTGAGACACACCCTTCCTCGGGCCTCAGAGGCAAAGGCCATGTGGCGATTGAGCTCACATCCGTCACCCCAGACAAGCCTGGCTGCACCTCCATCTGGTTCTCTGACTTGCCTCAGCTGAGTCAGGCGGCGGGGAGGCAGGGGAGGCTGGGGAGGGCCTCCCTCGGCAGCTGACGCCGAGGTCCTGGGATTCCGAGGCTCAATTAGGTGTTGAGGGGTATTCATTAGAAGCTGGCAGTGGTTCTCTTTCCTTCGGCTAGATTTGTCCTTTAACTTTTTTTTCAGATATGATCAAAAATGTCAAGAGTGCATAAAAGTATAAAGAAAAATCAAGTCTCTCACCCATCACTCCCAACCCGCAGTCCCAGATCTCCCAGCCAGAGACAACCACTGGTACCATTTTCTCGTGTCCTTGCTGAGGATACAGAGGGCTGCATACGTGCGCCTGTGATGAGTGGCTGCGACCACACACCTGGCCATGTACCTTCCTCGCTTCGCAGCATATTTTGCAAGCTGTTTCATTTCTGTTCAAAACCATTAGCCTTGACCTTTTTAACAGTTGCATAGTATTTTACCATGTTGCTATCCCATCATCACTTAAACAGTCTCCTGGTGATAAATATTAAGACAGACAGACAGATGGACAACATAGTCAACCATATGCAGACTCCTCCCTCAGGGCCTCAGCCTCTCCCTCCACCCCAGGCGGAGGTGGGGGTGAAGGATTCCATCTCCCACATCTCTTATGGGTTTAAAGTTTTTAGATAGCCCTAGTCCAACCCCAAAGGCCAGAAGCAGGAGAGATCTGGGGCTTGGGGAGAGCCAGGGAGGCCAGGGCAGGTCCAGCAATGGCCCTGAAGCCACCAGGGCTGAGTCAGAGTGAGGCTTTTTCTCCCTGCTGGAGGCAGTCCCAGAGCCCCGCCTGGCACCCTAGTGGCCTGGCTGGGGCCCAGTTCTCTAACCAGATGTTTCGGGGCCCCAGGCTCGAAAAACAAAAACAAAAATCAGCCTTCAGGGCCTCCCAGGCACCTAGCCCTCTGGTGCTGGGTCTGTAGGACCCCTCTTCGCCACCCAAGTGTCTGAAAAGGGATCGTTTCTCCACCCACCAGTTGAGGGGAAACAGTGAAGCTGGAATTGGACAAGAGCAGAAATGCCCAGCGGATGCCAGGTGGCAGTGGAAGTCAGAGCCATCTGCCCAGTGCCCAGCCAGGTGCCCGGTGACACAGAGTGCAACCTGCAAGGCCTGAGCCCCAGCAGCTGAAGACAGTGAGGCCCAGACCAGGCCCCACTGCCCAACACTCGGCGAGCTTTCCCTTCCTGTTCTCCCCAGGCACCCCCATGCTCCTGGGGCAGCTGCCCTGTCTCTCCCTGAGCCTCTCAGCAACACTGGGTCGCAGGCACCTGTCGTCCTCCAGGCAGTCCCCACCAGCTCTGGAGGAGTCATTCAAAACCACTAACTGGGCCGGG